AAATACAACAACGCCCTCTAACTGATTAAATAGATCATTGATCATGTGCAAATGATATTTGTTCTTATTATCACCTTATTCAGCTCTCTATTACCAATACATAGTTAAATAAATTCGTGTCTCTTCTTGACAAATAATACTGAAGCACCCTAGGTTGAATTTTTTGGCCTAATAAAACCCTTATCTATCAGTTCCGACAATTGACATATCATTTCCTAACAATTCTTTGGGAAATACATCAGGAATTTCTGCAACGACTTGGATATTGTTCAATTTCTTAACATATTTATTCAACACTTCTAATTTTATTAAGATCATGGGTTCATCACTTCACAACTATTTTCCAATTTTCAATGCATTGATCAAAGTTAATTGTGCAGATATAAGATATAGAACACTTTTTCACAAGGTATATTGAATTTCACTCGTCTTTTTAGTATTCAATTGTAGCAAAATGTTTCACCATGCAATTCATTCTGAGGATTACATCAAAAGTTTGAATTGGTATGATAATTAATTTTGTTAGCAAATTTCTATTAGAAATATTAACATGTAGAAAATATTTTATGTTTGCATAGAAGCTACTTCTCGAAGGTAAAATCAAATGCATACATGTAACCACATTTTTCGGATTCTTTAGCTCTTGAGTAGTAATTGCAAAAACTCTAACTTTGACTGGTTGCTCATTTTGGATCTTTCACTCTTAACTTAAGATGAGGCTTTCCCAAAAATTGAGCTTTGTTGGACTGACTGACTTCTGAAAATTTCTTAGTCCATCTTTATTTTTAAAATGTTGATGGAAAACTGTCTATTTTCTTTTCCAGGTGACAATTTATCTAAAGATGCCCCGACTATCCACATCTTTAGAATATCCCTAAAACCATCAAACATTGCCCAAAATGATTTTTTCCACACTTCTCATAAACTGACCTTAATTGTGGTTGCTTCTGCTTTTCTTCCAATTTAAATTTCTTGCTATGGGGTTCTTCTCCCTTGCCAAAATCTTTTTGTTTGCTTGCTTGGGGTTGGCATCGTTGATTGGAGATGTTCAACTCATTTTCAATTCTCCTAGCCCTTTCAACAAACACTAAGAAAACACGGATTTCAAAAGGAGCCAAACTTAATCTCAACTGATCTCTGAGGCTGCACAAAACTCGATGACATTTTTCTTTCTAGGCATTAACATATGGGGAGCATATTTGGAAAGAGAAGTAAATTCTGCTTCATACTGCAAAACTGTTTTGGACTTTGAGTCAAATTGGAAAAAAATATCTTGTGACACTAATTTGGTTGAAGGCAGAATGAAAAAAAATCGTTAAAAACTCTGAAAAAATCATCCCATTGAATCTGCAAAATAGGTGTTAATTGAAATTTTTCTGTGTTGCATCTACCACCACCTCTCTGCCTTGCCTTTTAACATGAACGTGACACTAATTTGGTTGAAGGCAGAATGAAAAAAATCGCTAAAAACTCTAAAAAAATCATCCCATTGAATCTGCAAAAGAGGTGTTAATTGAAATTTCTCTGTGTTGCATCTACCACCACCTCTCTGCCTTGCCTTTTAACATGAACGTGGCTAGCACCACTCTTTTATTTTTTGGATATATCATGCCATACAAAATCTTTTTGTTCTTCAATAACCAATTTTTAGCAACTATAGGATCACTAATACTTTTAAAGATGATCGGCTTCAATGTCTGAAAGATTTTTAAATGTCATTCAACTCCGATATTATCTTCAGATCTGGGCCCTGTGCTAGTATAAGATCTTCAATAACAGTCATTTGTCAACCACTTGTGGCATCAGCTAAACAATGCTCTGTAAGTTAATGGCTATAGTTTCTTCATTTGTCCTATTATGATTATCATTTTTGTTCAAAATATTTTTAGCTTATATCTCTTGCTCTGCATTTGGCCAAAGAGAAGGGCTCTCAGTACATTTTTATTCTTCTTCAGGCATATTCATTTGTAGTAACTTAATTTTATATTCAAATGCAATTTATCATATAATAATTATGTTGTGCATGCATGATACATTAAATCATATGGGTTACCCACCCCAGATCAATCAACCTATAGCTCTATATAAATTTATTCATATTTGCTCTCAATCTTACTTCTAATTCCAACACACTTCCATCATTATGTTCATTTAATAACTCTGCTTCGATGTCATATTTGTGACACTCCAACTAACCCTCTTTGGGTCAACTGTGATGCGACAAAGGAGGAATACTCGGTCAGACTAAATTCTTACCAGCACTCATCTAACTCTAGAATCAGGACCTAGTTATAGTTGAACTAGTTTAACTAAATAACCGCAAATGTATATGATTCGTTTCATTTCATAATTCATTCATATTCACATACTGGGAAGTGTGAAAAATCTTATCACCAATACACATTTATGTATACAGAGTTGTTAAATCCAACTTTATAAAATTACGTCTCTCAAAAGTTTGCATAAGCTTCAAAAACTATATAATGTAAAAATTGTACACATCACACTTGGCTGTTCACCTTGAAGCTTCTTACCCCTTCCTAAAAGTCAACAATATAGAGTGAGCTATAACAAACTCAGCGGAATAATCAAAGACTAAAGAAATATTTTTTAGATGGAAAAAAAAGGTAAACTACTTTATCATATGTTGCTCATGTACATGTCCACAACATGTCGCGACATGTTATAATTATATAAAACATATAAAAAATATAATGATGACAATCATGATTACTATAGAAAATATGTATTTCATAGACATATCACAGTAATTGTAGAAATGTCTCTTGTAATTATATTGGTCTCAATTATTTTCATTTCATGCCATGTCATTGGATCATCACACAACCTGAAGGCTACATTCACTATTGTTAAAGGGTGGGCCTCTCTCAGCATAGCATTTATCAATAGCTCCATGGTACTAACAGTTTCTTACATTTTATCTCCGGCTGATCCTAACGATTCTCAAAGTTTCATCATTCTCTAAATACCATGGTTCGAAAAACCTATCGCCCATTATCATCTGTACTTGCAAGTTTTCATGTAATAACCTAACCATAACATCTCTTGTGACATTTCGTAAATCATAATTTTTACAACATATATTATCATAACATTTCATATATCATACTCAGGAATCATATTAAAAAAATACCTGCAAGCAATGATTTATAAGCATATTCATCAAATTTATAGCATAGTGAAATCATAGATATCGTAAGAAACAAATCAAATTTGCATTCATACAGTTTGCATATATTTATCCACATGCAGATAATCCTAACACTATTGTGTCAAATATAGGCACATGAAAATTCATAGAGTTATTTTTCTTAAGTTAGCTCAGGATCTGAATCGACGGAGTAGTCGTATGACAAATTTCCCCAAGCCTAGTGTAAATAATATGGAATTTGTAATCCTTTAAACATTTATGAAATTCATAACTGACATCTTAATTTAACCCAAAATATGATTTGTTTTTCTTTAACTTATCTCAAAAGGGCTTCTCGACATAAATACGCTCATACGATACCTTCCTATTTGGTTCTTTTTTCTTCCTTTCCCCCAACCCTTCCCTAACTCGTGAACTGGACCTACCGGCATAGTCCCGTGGTTGTTCCTGCAAAGTTGCAGTCAAGGTAACATACAGAATGCCTAATTCATGGCAAATGTCAAACTTAGCCATTTGATTGCATCACATGGCTAAGAATCATGAAGAAAAGTCGTGGCTGCAATGCTGAGGGAGAGATTAGAGTTATATAGGATTAATAAGTTTAATTAAACTTTTATTTCATAAATTTATATCTTTTCATATGTTTAAAATTCATGTATAGTGCTATATATCAAATTGATCAGTTCAAGATATAGAATTTTATAAAATTGGCTCCGTCAAATTCCGAGAGATGTAAAACTTGGATATATTTTTAAAATTGTCAAAATTTTAATTATTTTCCCAAAATTGGGTGTTACAGTTGGCCTATATCCAGTTATGATTTCAGCACACAACCTGAGAGATAAATGATATAACACTCCAACTTGATAAGACTATAGAGGACAATCTCTATTCCATAAAACAAAGTAAAAGCTGTCCCAACAGCATAAAAAGAACATGTTTAAATGTCTTACGATAAAAGAAATCCTATTTAGTGGTCTAATAATTTAAAATAGGACCCCAAGGGGGTCACCCAGTCCAACAACTGAACTAGAATTCTTGATTTTAAGAGTTCCGCCCGCCCTGCCTACCACATCCCGCTCTAACAGACACCCACATCAATTAAAGGAGGAAGAAAAACATTGTATTTATTTCTTATTTTATTATTATTTTTTCGGTAAATGTTATAGACTAGGTGTTAAAGCCTTAGCCTTGCATGTTAGAGAAGAAATGGCCGAAAATCAAGGGAAAAATTAAATGCTATTCAAAACCATGTATAGCTTGCTGTCATTTAAAACTTGCAAGCAATTATATTTGACTACCATATACAGCCTTCAACTAATCGATGTAACGACGGTATTAAGAGATTCATTGAATGTGGATTTGGCCCTTTTGCAGACCACAAGGCGAATCCAAAACTCTTTCATCTATAACTCAAAGCATCTCTCTTTTGATTAACAATGCAGGCTTTCTGTTAAGTTTATACTCAAACCTACAACTGGTATAAGCACATATGCCAATTATTTCTTCCCAGATATTGCTTTTATTATCGACAAATTTGTGCCAAACGGTTCAGATGCTTTTAAAATTTGTTGTAGGAATATTTCAAAAGGTTAATCTTCTTATAATTACAGCTTTTAGTTCCATAATTTGGCATGAATTACTTTTAAATACGAAAACATGAGAATTTAAAATGTTAAGACCATATCTTTAGTCACAGTCTTCTCTGATTTATGTAAATATTGCAATTATTATGGTTATTCATGCATATTTTTGTCTAAATGTTTAAATTTTATCATAGTTGGATATAGATTTAAGGGTAACTTGTGACGTCAGTTTCTTTTTCTAGATGTGTGGGTCGTCAGCCCTTCCTTATCCTATAATGAAACAATGGGAAGAGATAACAGGACACCGACTTTTGGAACGCTATGGTATGACAGAGGTAAATAAAAATGTCAAAACGCCTCAATTATCAAATTGAATTTTCTTGAACATTTTATATGAAAATTAATTTGTTGGTCCTACTCATCTTTACATGAAAGTCTTAATCAAGATGCTTTTATGCGCATTTTATTTACCATATGATTTTTTTTTGGGTGGGGCATTTAAATACATACCATCCAATTCCTATATAATTATATATCTAACACTTTAACTTTACTTTTTGCATTTATAACACCCATATCTTTTATATCACATAAGAAATATTACCATTTTTTAACTTTTAAAAAGTGAAATACATCTTTTCATGCATAGGTTAGCTTGTATGTATGTAAAAATTGAAGTTTAGGTGTTAGATATATAAATACATAGAATATGAGTGGTTTGTATGTATCTCTCTCTCTCTCTCTCTTTTTGTCAGTTTGTCATGGCACTCTCCAACCCGTTGCATGGTATTAGGAAGGCAGGTACTGTTGGAAAACCTCTACCAAGGGTGGAGGTATGATACATTCTTTCAATGGAGTTTCCCTTCAAATTTCTTTTTAATTGAATTTATATTGCTAGTCCTTTAGGAAACATATAATGGTTAGCAACAACCTGCTTTTTTTTGTTTTTTGTAAATTACTTTATACTATTCAATTTAATCAAATTAATGATGAGAAATGTGGCCTACCTTCATTGCTGAAAAAGTCTTTCCCATTAATTATTTCCAACGGTGATGGATCTTATGATCTATGCTTGTCAAAAACTCAGGATGTAAATATTGTTATTATGAGTTTTTGGTGTTATTTTAGCTTTTTTTTTCTATAGTTTTCTATTCATCTAATTTTTTGTTAGATGTCTTATTATTTGTCTATTCTATCGGGAAATGTTTGTGCTCTCTAAAATACATAATAGTTTGGTTTGATTCCTTTGAGTTTACATTTGTTTGTTCTTGCTGGTTTCCCCAATTTTGTTATATGTTGTTCCTTGTTTAGCCAGCTTCAATCCTATGGTACAATATCTTTTCTATTCGGTGTTGTTTGCAATCTTAGAACCTTGTTGGTTTATGCCTTGGATTCCGGTTGAAACTGATTCTTTGTGCTAGTTGATGATGTAAAAGCAGCCCTTTATGCTAAAAATCCTGTGTGAGATCGTCATTCAAGGGTTCATTCTTGACATCGAGTTGGAATAAGGGTCAATCCAGATTCACTGCAAAAGATAACAGGATCCGAATGGTGTTTAACTTAGCCTCCATTGCAAATGTCTTATCATAGTCAATTCCATAGGTCTGTGACTACCCTTTGACGATCAACCATGTCCTGTTGCTTTCAAAGAATCCATTTAAGTTGAACTTGATGATAAAAATTCATCAGCATTCCCGCAGCTTTATTGCATTGAGGAATATCTACAACATCCCACATATGGTTCCGTCGAAGGGCATTCATGTCCTCCATTACTGCAGCTTTTCAGGTCGGATCCGCTAATGTAGCCTCAATAGTAGCTGGGATCTGATGATCCGTCAAGGCATTAGCAAATGTTCTGTAGGCCAGCGATAAACTATCGAAAGAGACATTTTGCTATGGAATAGAGAGAGCACGCCTGATTGCATACCTTATTCGGGGAACTCACCTCCTCATTTGGAGTAGTAGTGTTGGGGATGTTTCCGGGAGTGGATTCAAGGTCCTGTAAGGAGGTAGCAGAGTCCAAAGTATGTGCATTAGGATGAGTGTGCTGAGTGTAGACACGGAAAGTGGGAGGAGGAGATGGTGGAACAAAAGGAACAAGGGATTCTTGGTGGTAGGAACAATGTGGGGAACATCCATAGGAGTAGGATAAGGATAGTGCCCAAGAACTCTAGCTCTCCCTCACTTGAGGTCGAGTTAGGAAAATAGTGAACACTTTCAAAACAAGAGACATCAACACTCACATAGGTTTTGTTTGTGATTGGATCAAGTCACTGATACCTTTTTTGAGTGGCGGAGTAACCTAGGAAGACACATTTTATGGATTTGGAATCAAGTTTACTCTGAGTAGGGGTAGCGTTTCGAGCAAAGATCGTGCACCCAACCCAAATATTTTGAGAGCTAAAGTGGAGAAGACCCAATTAGCGGGAAAACATGACATTAAGACGACTAAAGGGGTTTGGAAGTTTTGAATTCGGAAGTTATGAATTTTAGAGGAGACTTATTGATTAGATAGGTGGCAGGCAATATGACATCATTCCAACAACATTTCAGAACATTAGATTGGAACATAATGGAGCAAGCAATGTCAAGAAGATGTCGGCTTTTACTCGCGGCTACCACATTTTATTGAGTATCCGTACACAAACTATGGTGGAGGATGTCTTTACTCACCAAGAATTCATCTAGAATAGAGTTAAAAAACTCATAACCATTGTCGGTCTGAAGGATCTGAATTGGACTTTTGAATCGGTTAAAATAAATGTGTGGAAGTTTTGAAATGTGACTACAACTTCCAATTTGTCTTTTGGGGATGCTCTGATTCCATGTTGAAATATTGGAGTAGAGCAGCATATATTATTGATATAAAGATGAGTGTATAAACCTTATTACAGCGGACACTCATAAAGAAAAATAAAAACAGAATAAAAGAAAAATAAGAAAGAAATACTGCAGGAAAAAAAGTAAATAATACAGATTTAATAAAAAAACCTGCATATTAACAACGACTAGAGATAACCATTATCATTCTAATAGAATGAATGGTTTTATAAATTGAAGGCTTGTGAACCATTATCTGGAACTGTGAGTTTCATTTTATGTGTCTCATTGTTAGCTTTGAATCAGAGAATTTAGACTATGAAAAATCCTACATTAGTTACTATCCTTTGAATCAAAATTCTTTGCTGAAAGATGACAATTAAGCTTCATTATCATTAGAAGAAAGATAAGCCCTCCGTTATACAAGCTATGGCTAACTACCCCTTAGAGGGATATAAGTTGCCTTTGGAATTTGCTTCTAATCTTCTCGTTCCTCTTTCAGGTGGTTGCTTTTCATGCTGTCTTGGATTCTTCTTTTGGCTGCTTGCTTAATAATGCCCTCCAACTTTCCAAGAATGAAATATTTTGTGTATGCTTTGAACCTAGCAGATCCCCTTGAATCTCTCCTTGCTACACCAATTAGTTTTAGAGCAAATTTTTTGGTACTTATAAAACCGATAAATGTTTGTTGACAAGTTACCAACTATTTTTAGAATGTAAGACTTGTGCTTTTTTTTTCTTTGGGGCATATGGTCCCCGCATAGGTGCACTCTGAGTTTGTTTTTTCTATTGGGTGTAATTTTGTTCACTGATAAATGGTCGCTATGTGAAGTTGTGTACATCACCAGGGAGTGATCCTGACATGGGGATCCTTTGTCCACCCCCAGGCAGACCCGAGAAGTGGAACCGGTTCAGGGAGGGACTGAATCAAGCAATCCCAACCCCCATGGACTGGCCAAGCCCCTTGGGGATTCCTATTTGCCATATTTAGGCTATTATTGGCGTTATTTTCCTTTAGAACGTATAAATAAGTTGTTAATTCCTATTTTCAGTACTTATGATTCTGGTTTATGCATTCAGAGATTATTTTATCTGATTTCCACCATAAGGAGTATTGTTTTCTTTGTTCTTGTGCATGTGGTATGTTTGTAGCTTGTTCAGGAGTACGTGATTTTTTTTGGCTTATGTGCCTCCCCATTATTGTCGTTTTCTTTGCCGCCTGCTATCTTCCTCCTGGATAGCAGCCAAACCCCTTCAATCCCTTCCAATCTCCACCGGCTTTGCATATTCTTTTCCTTTTTCTATTCTAATATATTTCCCCTCTTGTTCCTATCCTCAAACACCTTCTAGAACCTTAGAATGACGTCGAATCCTTTTCTTGTCATTTTTTATATTGGTATTTATTATTTATCTAATATTTGATTGAAATAGTTGATTCTGCAGTCTGTTAAGGTATAAAGTTGCAATGTCATTACTACTTGTTTCATATGTAAGGTGCTTGATCTGCTCTAAAATGCAGTCTCTCAGACTGGATGTTCCTGATAGGCATGTGTTCCGTTTAGTTTTTTTTTAATGAAGATTTCAAGAAGTAGAATTCAGTTGACAAGTTCCAGTCAGTTTGAAGATTGTTGGGGAATTATATTTACATCCAATTTGGTTATGATATGGAAAGAATATTTGTAGTCATTTGCGTAGAAAAATATCCCAGATTCATTTTTTACGCTATGTGTGCAGGATAGTACAACAAAAGTAAAATTCACCCTTAAAATCTGCATGAGACTAACCAATCTCTTTGTGTCGTATCTAAGAACTTGCATAATCTTTTGAAATGTAGAACTTGTTCAATTGACTAGTGCACTTGTGTATATGTTAAAAAAATTTATCTGGTGAGGTATATGTTGGATTGATATCAGAGTTTATGTTCCTTTCGTATTTTGTTGTCAGGTTAAGATAATTGGAGAAGATGGAAATGAAGCAGATGGAGTTGGAGAACTTTGTGTTCGAAGCCCTTCCTTATTCAAAGAATATTGGAAACAACCCAAGGTACATGCTTGCAGAAGAAACTGTCTTGTCTCACAGATTTAGATGTTACTGATTCCAGTTTTCATCATCTTTTCATCAGAATGCTCCGGGAAAATTGCACTTATATTTAAAGTTCTAGTTTTATATGGATTTTGGCCCTCATACTTATTTGTTTCAATAACTTACCTGATTTATTGATTGAGATTTTCTTTAGGGAGTTTGTTGCTGTCTATTTGGAGCATCAACTAATTGGTGTAACTTAGGGCTTGTTTTGAATCACTTTTATTTTTTATTTTTGTTTTTATTTTAAAAATGTCTTGTCTATTCCATTTTTTTCACATTTCTATTTTTGTTTTCGAAAACAAATTAACTTAATTTGAAAAATACTCAAAATTTCTAAAAGTTTTTTCTAGTGTTTTTTTTTAAAATAATTTAAAATGTGTTATTTGACCTGCAGTCCAACTGCCCCTTTTACCTCCACCTACTATTCCACCTTCCCCTGCCAGCTTCCCCGCTACAGCCAATCGCCTCCCTTTCAATCCATCTAATAGTTCATCACCCCTTTCAGATACAACCTTAGTTACGTCGGTGTTGTGTCTATTATTATTTTTCCCTTTTAAGTGTGTTGGGTTGTAACAACCTGACTTTTTCAGTAATAGTATTTGTTTGTTTTTTATTCAGGTATCACAAGGTTTTAGGTAGTCGCCAAGCCAACGTAGTTGCCACCTTTGATGGATCTGTCAACATCCTTGCAGTCGATACCACATGTCCTAAGTACTCCACCTGATAAACAAACACTTTTTTAAGTTATTGTAGAGCGAGTGCTCACTGATTACCATCAACATCGTCAAATGATCAAAGTAGCCCTCGAAGGAATGGTTGCACTAGAATATCAACAAAGAGAACCGACTCAAACTTTCGAAGGAAAGGTTGAAACACCTTGTTCGTTTGTGATTGAAATGTAGTCGGTGTGTTGGTGAGCTCAAATGACATAACTAGAAATTCACAACGACCCTCATGAGTTCGAAATGCAGTCTTGTGACATCCATTGATTCCATCTGAATTTGATGGTATACTGACTTCAAGTCAATCTTGAAGAATTCCACAACCCCAAACAACTCGTTCAACGACTCATTAATAATTGGGATAAGAAATTGTTTGGTATTGTTCCCTTATTCACTACCCGATAATCAACATAGAAATGCCAACTCTCATCTTCTTCTTCACTAGTAAGACTGGACTAGCGAAGGTGTCACACTAGGTTGTATGATCCCGACCCCCAACATCTCTCAAATCTATCTCTTGATCTCATCCTTTTGTACCTGGGGGTAGTAGTATTGAAGAACACTCATGGGAGAAACCTTGGTCTTAGGTTTATTGCATGCTTCTGTTCCCTTTGAGGCGGCAATTCACATGGCAACTGAAAATTTTATGCAAATTATTGTAAAAACTGTGGGACTTGTGTCAGAATCTCTATTAATTATGTATTATGTCTCTTTCATGCTATGCAAACTAATCAAAAATCTCAAATTTGCATTTTGTATTACCCTAAACATGGTCTTGACTGTGACCCGGGTATTGCGCAAATTAAGCTGACTGCGAAGCACCTTCTTGTTTACCTTTTGAAACTCTATTGCATGGAGTTTCCAATTCATCCTAGTCTCTCCCAAAGATTGCTATCACTTCATACCCGATATTACATGAGTGCTCTCTAAATCTAAGGGAAAAATTTTCTTCATCACCTGAATACCTTGCAATGTTAAAATCAGCTCTTTACAAACTCCCATGCTCTTCTCCATTTATCTCGTACCCATCATAACTCCAAAACATCCCATGGTAACCATATCTTGCCCCAATTGCTTCACTACTTGAGTAGAGATGAAATTGTGGGTGGCCCCACTATCTACAAACATCACTATATTTTGCTTTATGATATACCCAAAGTTTCACTGTGTGGTTCAGTGTTAACTTCACCACCAAGTTCAATGAGACTTTTGTCACATCGAAATGAGTGTGCTCTTCCTCCACCACAACCTCCTTTATTTTTTCATCTCTTGTCTCCTCATCACACACTGTGGAACCTATAAGGTCTAATCCTTGCAATGGTATCTTAGGGCAAATTTTTCATCACACCAAAAATAAAACCCCTTGGCTCACCTCTCCTAAATCTTTGTCTCTATAAGATGTTTGAATGTTGCCCCTAATCATGGCCCATTATTCCAATCTTGTGTTGTCTCCCTCTAGAATCCAATAGTTTGAGTTTTTGGTATCCATTGCTGTAACATTTCTACAATTAATTTGTGCTACTCCTATTAGCCTGTTTTATTGCATTTCTATCTTAAACAACTTGCACTAATTGCAGAATTTCCTCAAATCCTCGCTATCTCAGCAGATGACCATTGCGTGAATTTCTGGCCTCAACCTTCTCCTTCCAACTTCTTCTAATATTCCTCTCGGACGGTAGGATAATATTTCAAATTTCTCCCTATAATTCATGACGGGCCCTTCCTGGACCAATGCAAAAATTACTCGTATAAATCTCATTCCCACATTTTTTCTGGAATGCTCCAATAATTGGTTTTTGAACTCTTCTCATGTTATGATTGGTTGCCATTCTTTCTATTGATATCATGCTAGAACATTCCCTTCGAAACACAGGGTCGCCGCCATCAATTTTTCTTTGAAAAGTATCTCTCCACATGATAAACCCAACCATAAGCATCTTCTCTTTCAAAGGTCGGCATTTTTAGCTTTCTTATGTATGAGTCTTCTCATCAATTTTCTTGGCAGAAGTTCATTTCACCCATGAAGCGGGGTTTGGGTTCCCTTCCTCTACTCATTTTGATTTTTTTTCTTCCATAAGTTTGGCTCGCCCATCCCCATGGGCTTCTAAATCGATCTTCGCCTGGAAGGTTGCCACAACAAAAAGCACCTACGCAGTTGGATGCAACCTTTGTCCGGATACCTACCCACCGTGGTTCCCTATTCCAAGCTGAAATACTTTGAATAGATCTTCTCTAGCCCCAAGTCGCAAGTCGTTCTGTTCTACCTGCTGCCACTCGTTCCAGCTATCTGGATGCCTCACTATTCCTTCCAAGTGTTGTTGCTCGAGTTTTCTCCCTATTTCTTCGCTCAATCTTGTGGTTCCAAATCCGCCTAAGGCGGTGATGCTGTCGTGATGCCATGCGAACCCTTCTGATGGATGAGATATGCTCAATCCTGCGGCAAGTGGTTGTAATTTTGTATGAAAATTTGCTATCTTGTTCATCGTTTTTTTCTAGGGCTGTGAATCTCCCTTCTATGGATGAGAACCGCCCTTCTATATACGCGATACGTTCTTTCATTCCATTTCTAATTTGGCTCACTGCTCCCTCTAATTTTTCCTCTAGAGCTTCTACTTTCTTGGCCGCCATTGCTCCCAGGACAGTTATTGATCACAACGGTGGAACTCTTGTTCACCGCGATCTCGTGATTGGTTTCCCAGCTAGCTCAACTTGTGACTATATCTCAAGGTTCGGTCACGAAGACGACACAGGTAAGATGAAGTAGAGACCATCATTGAGACAGAGAGAGAGCCTCGACGATTTCAAAATGATACTAGGCTGAGTAGCGGCTTTTAATGCGAACAAGAAAGATTTGTAGCAGAGCAATGGCCTTAAATGCTCTGATACCAATTTGATAGGAACGAGACAAATTTCGGCAGAATTTAAGGCAGAAGTAATAGATTTTATTTTGTAGGTATCAAATCAAACAATACAATCCATAATACATAGATGAACCTACAATTCGAGAGGTAAGCAATTCTCTCTCAAACCCTATCCTTAATATTCAAGACAAAAATCACATAACCTAACCTTAAACATATTAAGCCCTATTTATACCCCATACTGATAACTAATTAATGACTAAATTGTCCTTTTAGTCTTGCGCCTAACATAACCCTTCAAATTATTTGATGAGCTTGGCATCGACGCTGTGGAGCACGAAACGGATGGCGCCACAGGGGCCGGTCTAACAAAATCCTGCCATTCAGGAAAACAGGGAATGGAATCGTCCTGCTCCGTACATGTTTGCCGATTTTGGGGGCCATACAAAATGGCCCATTATCTCTCTTGAAACTTTATAATATTTCTTGTTTTGTTTCCTCTAAAACACTTTTTTTTTTCTGCCCCATTCAACACTTTCCCACATGATGAGTTAACTTTCAAACTCTTACTGTCTCTAGTTAGTTATGTCGGTATGGAATCATATTGATTGTGGACTTCCGAAAGCCAACTGTTTGAAAAACCATAACAATCCAACGTATGGTTTTATGTTTCCTAATTTCTTATGCAAGTATATTTATAACTCTCAGAAGGTTCATGATGGCTTTTGCTTGATTCTTGAAATTATTACTGATCCACTAGATGGGATATGGGTGTTAGGGCTTTTTTTTTTTTTTTGTAAATGAGGAATTTTTCATTTTATGTTAATAATAGGGGTATACATACATACCACCAAGTTCTATGTCGTTACATAGCTAACATCTAAACTTTTTACATTTATACCACCGAAATCCTTAAAAAATGCCCAATTTTAACTTTTAAAAAGTAAAATACACGTCATGCATAAATAAGGCGGCATATATGTAAAAAGTAAGTGTTTGACATGTAAATACATAGGAATTAAGTGGTATGTATTTGTAAATCTTCCTCCTAAATTCTCCTTTGTTTCTTGTGGTCTTCCTAGGTGACAAAGGAATCATTCATTGATGGTGGATTCTTCAAAACTGGGGATACTGCTACTGTGGATGAAGATGGTTATCATGTTATTTTAGGACGTAAGAAATCAGTCTTCACACATCTATTATTTTTATTTAAACCAAGGCAATTAACTTTTTGATATTTTGCAATATATTTATGCATTACTAATGTATAATCAATTTTTTATTTGAATCTCCTTGAGCTTAATCATGACTATTTACATGGTACCATTTTAGTCTCATGGTCTATAGAAGTATCAAGTTATCCTTCAGACTCTTTTAATACGAGTTGAAATAATCTAAAGTCTCCTTCAGACTCTTTTAATACGAGTTGAAATAATCTCTGGAAGCGTTATTTTAGCTCCCGTTAAAAAGTTTGGGAACTAAATTGGCACTTTTGTAGACTCTCGGATGAAAATGTATGCAATGAGTCATGGATCGTTTTGACACTTTTATATGGCAGCACAATATTCTTTAAAAATGTACACAAAAATTTCTTTTTAATTGGTAAGGAAAGCGTGCTATTTATATGCTTAGCCCGCGTATAATTTACATGATTATGATCTACTTACACGAGCATGATTGTGATTTTTTTCTATTAACATGACATCAAGGCATTAGACTATTAAGTTAAAGTTAAATTTTGAGAATGGTAAATTGTAACTGAAAACTTTTAAGAATATTCTGAAAATTTTGGTCGAGGTGGATCTTAAAACCTTACTTTGATATAACTCATATTAATATGATACATGTGTCATCAAATGTGTCGTGTACCCCGGTCTGTTGGTTGGCATCCACGGTATAAGACGCTTCAGGTCAAGGGTTTAAATCCCCTCTAGCACAGTTGGCTTTAAGGATTTGGTACTCGAATAGTTTGGCACATTAGGGGTGGCTGGAGACTCGTATAATAGCATCTGGCCATTCCCCTTTTAAAAAAAAACAAAATGTGCAATCAATTAAACCTTATGGTACACTGATATCAAAGCATATTCAATGGTTTTAAACAGTTGGCTTTAAGGATGTGGTACTCGAATAGTTTGGCACATTAGGGGTGGCTGGAGACTCGTATGATAGCATCTGGCCATTCCCCTTGAAAAAAAAAAACAAAATGTGCAGTCAATTAAACCTTATGGTGCACTGATATCAAAGCATATTCAATGGTTTTAAGACCCATTTTGGCCCAAATTTTGTTTTCCAAACTTATTTTGTTCATGAACCTTATTCAATTAATGGTGCCACTTAACTGCTAAATCATATGTAATTTTACGGTAATTTGCATACATACCACGCAGTTCTTATGTATTAACATATCTAAACACCCAAAGTGTGATATTTACACTTGTAGCACCTTGGTTTTACAAACCTATGCTTGAAAAAGGTTTATTTCACTTTTCGAGAGGTAGTGATAATGATATTTTTCATTTGATATTAAAAAAAAATTAGTGGTATGCATATAAATATGAATTTTTAGTTGTTTAGGTGGATCTTAAAACCTTACTTTGATATAACTCATGTGTCATTAATTGTGTCGTGTACCCCGGCATGTTGGTTGACATCCACGGTATAAGACGCTTCAGGTCAAGAGTTCGAATCCCCTCTAACACAGTTGGCTTTATGGAGGTGGTACTCGAATAGTTTGGCACATTAGGGGTGGTTGGAGACTCGTATAATAGCATTTGGCCATTCCTTAAAACAAAAACAGAATGTGCAATCAAAAAAAACAAAATGTGCAATCAATTAAACCTTATGGTGCACTGATATCAAAGCATATTCAATGGTTTTAAGACCCATTTTGGCCCAAATTTTGTTTTCCAAACTTATTTTGTTCATGAACCTTATTCAATTAATGGTGCCACTTAACTGCTAAATCATATCTAATTTTACGGTAATTTACATACATACCACACAATTCTTAACACCCAAAGTGTGATATTTACACTTGTAACACCTTGGTTTTACAAACCTATGCTTGAAAAAGGTTTATTTCACTTTTTGAGAGGTAGTGATAATGATATTTTTCATCTGATATTAAAAGAATTAGTGGTATGCATATAAATATGAATTTTTAGATGTTAGATATGTAAATAGATAAGAATTTTGAGGTACACGTGTAAATGTCCCTTACTTTTATTTTAACGGTGTATTTCACTTTTTGAAAATTAAGATAGTGGTATTATTTATGTACTATGAATGTTTTGGGCGGTATAACTGCAACAAAAAGTAAAATTTAGGCGTTAGATATGTAAATACGTAGGAATTAAATGGTATGTGTGTAAATGTCCCTTGTTTTTAATCTCTTTTTTATGAATGAATGTGAGCCTACCCCTAGCTTTCATTTTGCATGCTTCATTAGTCTAATGTTTTAATGAAACCTTTATAATTGTATATTTTCACTAAATGAGGTAAGTTGCAATTTTATATAATTTTTCTTTGCTTCTTGCCATGTATGATTCAGGTTCTAATGCTGATATCATGAAAGTCGGAGGTTACAAGCTATCGGCGTTGGAGATTGAAGCAGTACTTCTAGAGGCAAGTTCCCAAATCATATGTATATTTACATATTAACACCTAAACTTTACTTTTGCATTTACACCATCAAAAATATTACCATTTTAACTTCTAAAAAGTGAAATACACTTACTCATGCATAGTTAAGTAGGCATATGTGTAGCGCTGCGTGCTCAGATTAGTCGGTCGGGCATCTGCTTGTCAGTTGTAAGTCCCCTCTGGTCTGGGCTTTGATTCTCCCAGGTGGAGGGTGTGGTGCTCGAATTGTTAGGCGTATTGGGGATGGCCGAGGTCATTCCTTTTAAATAAACACAAAAAAAAGTATGCATATATGTAAAAGTTGAAGTCTAGGGGTTAGATAAGTGAATAATGATATGTTGAAGCTGCAGTTCTCTGCAACTTATATAAATTATGTTTGAAATAAGCTTCATCTATTTTCTAACAACGAACAGAGAAGAACATCATATTAGTGAAAGTGCACACCTCAAATTCTGGTTTTTTGTAATTGATGTTTTCAGCATCCAGTTGTGTCTGAGTGCTGTGTGTTGGGTCTGGAAGACAAGGACTATGGGGAGATTGTGTGCGCAATAATTGTGGCTCATGAAAGCAATGAGAAAGTAAGTAATGAGGAGTTAAAAACAGCAGCTATTAGCTTGGAGGAGCTGCAGGAGTGGTCGACAGAGAGACTGGCGCCTTATAAGATTCCGACGAAGCTGTTATTGTGGGACGAGCTTCCGAGAAACGCAATGGGAAAGGTGAATAAGAAGGAGCTGAAAAGATTGCTGGAGAATTGATTTTGGGTTCTTTGAAAGTCTTAGGTTAGTTATTTCATATTGTAATGATTTATGAGAGTTTCAGACATAAATTTGCTCTACTAAACAGAAATTAATGAAGATATATTTATTAAAACTATAAGAACTTAGGTGTTTGAGAAGTTCTAATCATAATGTCATAATTGAGTTTGAAGTTTCTTTTTTATTTGTTATAATTATGATTATCTACCAAAAATTGCATTTTGATCAAATAATTTAAAGAAAATTAACAAATATGTGCGCGGATAAAAACGATATATTATAGATATTATTTTTATTTTAAATTCAAATAAAAAAAATTCAATTCGTATTTAAATTGGGAATTTGCCGCATCTGAATTAGGGGTGTGAGTCATGAGCCAGCTCGAGCTTGATAAGTGGCTTGTGAATTGAATATGATGAGCTAAGCTAATAAGCCAAGCTCAAGCTGTACCTCACTCGACTCATTAGTTTGTGAGCTAGCTTCCAGCTATGATTTATGTGGCTAATTGTTGTCATTACAATCTTCCACTATTGTCTCTATGACTAACTGATATTTTTGCAATAACTCATTACATTTACCATTGTAGCTTCCCATTGTGTTTAATTATTGTTATTAAAGTCATTCACTATGTCATCTATGATCAATTGACGCTGTTGTGGTGATCCACTACAACCTATGTGGCTAGTTACCAATATATATAACTTCCTACTACAACTTACATGGTTTACTTTTGTCATTATAGCCTTGAACTACAGCCTATGTGGCCAACTGTATCTCTTGCAACGACCTACTATGTTTTATGTGGATAGTTTCTATTGTAGCTTATATCTATAACCTACATTACTAACTGTTGTCATAACAATCTTCCACTACAAACTCTCTGGTCAATTGACGCTCTTGCAACAACTCACTATGGCCTATGTGATCAGTTACTTTTGCAGCTTTCACTATAGCCTATGTGACCAACTATTATCGATGTAACATTCTATTACGGCCTATGCGATTAATTATTGTCTTCGTGGCCATCTGCTATGACTTATTTAATCAACTGTTATCAGACAACCTTTCCCTGACATTTGTAGTTAATCACTCTCTTTGCATCATTCCACATGCTTATGTGATCAATTGTCGTCATTACAATCGTCCAATATTGACTCTACGACCAACTGATGCTCTTACAACTACGAATTATGCTTGTTTCTTTGGTCAATTGTCATTACTGCAGCTACCAATCACGATATGTAGCCAACTTCGACCTATATAGCTAACTGTTACTACAACTTACAAATATGATTTATATAGCTAACTACTAGTATTGTTTCAATAATGACATTTGTGATCAACCGACTCTATTGTAACCACCATTTTGTTGCAAACCACTACATTTGTAGCAACTAAGAACTATATTTACGACATTTACGGTTCATTCTTACTATTATCGCTAAGAACTATATTTTCTTAACCCAATTACAACCATTAAAATTGAATGGCAATTAAAATTTGTGATAATCAACATTGTAATTTCATCTTTTCTAAATAAGAAGAAAAATAGATCACGTACTTGCAATTTCATAGTGTATTACTCTGACTGGGCAGACCCATGTTTCTTCCATTTCAAGAGTTTTCCAAGTAAAAAAAATCCTGGTGTTTAATCCTCTGTTACATTTGGTGTCTACTATCGTGAATCTTCCAACACCCAATAATTTTTATTATAAATTCAGATAGAAAAAATATTATACGTTTGTGATAATTAAAATAACATTAAAAATATTAATTATTGAATGCAATGCATTTTGTAATGTTATTTTATTTTATTAAAAAGAAATTACAGCTATTTTTTAAATAGTTCAGGTTAGTAATCTTTAGTTTTACACGAAACATGATTGGATCCAGATCATTTCTATATGATTGATGGCTCCACAGAGTTCCAAAGGTCTCATAATTGCTCAATTTAAATAATTTGAAATTAAAATTGAAATTGAAATGCATTATATATATATATATACATGAATACGGGCATTTAATACATTTCATATTATAGTTTCAGAGATGCAAAGAAAAACGGATGGCGAACAGTTCTATGGAGATAAAAATTAGGACAAACAAATTAAATTATTTATTTAAAATTATTATTATTATTTTGAAGGGGGGCATTTACACATACTGCGCAACTCTCGTGTATTTGAAAAAATATTAGATCAGGACTCTTGACATAGAGCTACGTTCGGATTGGAATATTCAACTGTGTTACGGGAATATTTTATTTGCGTTATTTATTAAAATGATGTGTTATTCGAGTATTATATAGTGTTATTTGATTATTTTACGGTATTATTAGAATATTCTCCTGCGTTACTTGATTTGAGAATACATTATTCGGCATATTCCCTGTATTATTTCAATTTTCAATATGTTACTGAAATAATACGGCCCTAAATCAAGTAATACGGTGGAATATTTTAATAACACTTCAGCCCCAAATCAAGTAACGCGATAGAATATTCCAATAATACCACAAAATAATCTAATAACACCATATAATACTCGAATAACACATCATTCTAACAAATAACGCAAATGAAATTTTCTCGTAACACAGCTGAATATTCCAATCCGAACGTAGCTCTATGTTAGGAGTCCTGATGTAATATTTTTCCCATGTATTTAGGTATCTAACACCTAAATATTCATATTTAGGTATGACCACTCAAAACTTTTGACACCTAAATTTAAGTTATTAGGTGGATACCATCATCATTTTACCTATGCTTGAAAAGGAATCACTTTCTAAAAACAAAAAATGATCTTTTATATGACATGAAACATTTAGGTGTTTTAAATATAACAAAGACAATTTAATCACATATATAGCATACATGTTAATGTCTACTTTTGCTATTACTAATTCTAGTGAATTAAAACTAAAATTTATTATTAAATACGTGAGTCTTATATTTAGGAAAAAAATAAATTCTCTGCCATGTCTCACAAGCCTTTAGGGTTCTCGTTGTTCGCGAACAACTCGTGTACGGCTCGTTAAGAAGCTTGTGTTCGGTTCGTTTGCTAAGTTAACGAGCCGAACGCGAACAACACAAACAAATATTTATTTGTTCGTCTTCGGCTCATTTTGGCTCGAAATACTCTATATATATATCCATGATGAGTAGTATTTTTAAAAAAATTAAATTGACTACATGGCTACAAAGATTTATAATCAATTAAAAGTATTAATGAAGAAAATAGAATAAAAATTATTAAGTTAGATTCAAATAATGTTTTAAATCTTGCTCCAATTCTTAACATCTTATGGCCACGCGATTAGGGTTATCAAAACAATTTTTTGTTCGTGAACGGCACGTGTTCGGTTCGCTAAGCAAACGAGCCGAACACGAACACACTTTTTGAGCTCGAAATATAAACGAGCCGAACACGAGCTGAGTCTAGGTTCGCTCGTGGTCGGCTCACTTACACCCTAACAAGCCTTTCAAAACCGCTGCTTTGATGCCCTTTCATTTGATCACACTACCAATATCATTTAAAAAGAAAAAAACAGCCTATACATGCCCCTCTAAGTTGTCTATATGATTGACAAAAGTCATTCAATTAATCCAAATATACTTATTATTCATTTTAATTAATGCAAATATGCATCATGTTTCACATCAAGCAGAGATAAAAATCAACACAAGCAGTCTAGCAGGTAAACGAAAACATGACATTAAAACTTCAGGGGAGCTTAGCTTCCAGCTATCCAAATATTTAATCCTGTAAAATCTATGTTCTGTTGAAATAATTTACTACCCTATCCATTTATTTTAACTTAGGGGCATAAAATTAAGATCTTTTCTAACTTCAAACAAACAACAATACAAACTTCTTGCAGGTAAATTTTAAGAGTAAACCAAATAAACACTTGGAACTCTACACCAAACAAACCGGCAAGAGCTAAGAAGCGTTTTTATTCAAAGTGAAAGGTGATACGAGGCGCGTCTCAAAAAGAGGCGACAAACAACAGAAGGAAGATCACAGAGACTTGAGGATCTCATCAGCACCAGAGATGGTGAAGGCTCCACCCTCCTCGATGTTAGCCACCTTAACCTTGAGGTCGTCCACCAGGATCGCATACCTGCGAGAGCGCAGCCCGAGCCCCTTCTCGCTCAGATCCAGCTCCAGGCCCAGGGCCTTTGTGTAGTTAGCTGAGCCATCGGCGAGGAACTTCACGTGCTTGTTGTCCGTGTAACTCTTCGCCCACGCCTTCAACACAAATGGATCATTGACTGCGCAAGGACTTAAAATTCTTGGTTGGCAGTTGTTTTGGCTTTAGCATAAGGAATTAAGGAACATTTAACATTATGGAACATTTTACATAACTGGCGCCTAAATTTTTACATACATATATCCGACCGACCTTATCTGTGCATGAAAAAGGTGTATCTGGCATTTCAAAAGAAAAAAAAGATGGTATTTTTTTATGTGATATGAAAGATTTGGGTGATATATATGTAAAAGGCATTCGATATTCATAATCATTTCATGATAGCATCACACATAACTATCAATCGGATGACTATATAAAATTCGTATGCTTTTGTGTCCTAATCTTCTTTTTTACATTTTCACTCTGTGTTTGCATATGCAGTGTCAGTTTTCCAAAATCTAAGTCATGAAATAAAGAGGATGATGGGCAAGCCGAGTCACCTGATGAAAATAACTCAGTAGAGTGATCTTAAGCCAGTGATGACACATGCCCCTAGCGCCCCTATACTTATTAATCCACATCCAAATTCATGTCTGTTATTAATTTGAATTAAGTATTAGATTATTAAAGTTATATTGCTGTTTATTTCATTTTTTAACCTTATATGTTGCCAGCCCTTTATTCATGTAGCTATTTGCATTTGTATTGTTTTGCATTGTTCGAGGGGCATCTGATCGATCGAGAGCATATTCGGCCTGGGATGTGCGAGCGAAACAAAAGTAAAGGAGAGAGAGGAGCCATGGCCAACATTGTGGAGCCAGCTTGCAAATGTTTGACTGATTGAGTCGATTTTTGATCGACAAAAAATGAAATGAATTATCGACCCTAAAGTGGGTATTCTTTTCTTATTTGTTTATTTCAGATCGTCTTCAAATTGAGCAAAATGAGCTAATCCATGAGCAGGAATTCTGTCTTGGAATGATCTTCAAACCAATTATAACAGGAGCCTGGGTTGAATCGAACAAGCTCACAAAGAAACCCAAATACAAACAATTATATAAAAGTAACCCAGGCTCTTCTTATTACTGGCTTCCAACCTGAATGGAATTTAACGAGAACAATGAACGAAAAAAGATAGGTGAAGTTTTCCTCAACTAAAAGAAATCAGAGCTAACATAAGAGAAAATTTTATTTAAAAGTAGAGAATATACCGCTAATTAGAAGGATCTCGTCCACGCCCTTCGACTTTAGTTCCTCAGCATTTGTGATAAAACTCGGCACATGCTGCGTGCTGCAAATCCACAACAACATAATCATCAGATTTTTTTTTTCCTCCTTTAAAATTAGTTAATAAGAAACTGAATACTTTTAAGAGCCGATTAGAAACATTTCTCAATGAGACAACGACATCATTCAGAAACTTCAACAAGCATTTAACCAAAATCCAGTCCTAACACGGATCTTCCTTCTAACAGATCTTCTACTTCAGCCTCATAAACTCAAATCAGATTTAGTTTAGAATCTACAACCAAACCTCCGATCTATCCATCCGATTATTGAAATCAACCAAATCGAAGAAAATTTCAACTGGATTGATAGAAAGGACCTGCAGGTAGGGGTAAACGCGCCGGGAACACCGATGAGGACGACATTCTTGCCGGCGGCAAGTGAGTGAATCGAGAGCTGCTGTATCTCACCATCCTCATCAAACCAAGGTAGAGTTCCATCGGGAATAGTATCTCCAACAGCTATCGGAGCCATTTCTCTCCTACGACAACTGAATTTCTAGATCGGTCTCTTGTACAGCAGAGAGGAACAGGGTTTTATACAGCACGAGCGACAGTGTCGTAACTTAACATCGGCGATTATTCGAATTTAATACTGCAGCTCAAGTCCGGACGGCCTTTGTTGCTGGCCGGGGATAAATCCACGTCGTACATGATCTATGTGGCCTCATTGAGACACGCCGTTTGGCTTATCGCAGCCGTCGGCTAAATAAACAATTTATTGTTGGGAAATATAGAAATTATTAAGACCCCTTTATTTACTCGAAAAATCCAAAAACATAGTTAATGCATAATTATACTTGACATTAATAATAATAATATATATTTACATAATAGTCCTATTATTCAAAATATAACATTAAAGTTTCGTAGAATATATATTTTTATTTTTATTTAATCGTTAAGAGAGCTATATAAGTAGGATAGCAAAAATTATTATAGGATTAATTTTCTTTGTCATGCATAAAGGAGGCTCTAAAAGTTTACTTTTAAACACCATTAAATGAAAGGAAGAAGGAAGGTTTAAAGAGTCTCACGGCCGCAGTTGTTGATTGAAGTCTAATGTTCATTTTGGAAGAAGCTCTCCTAGTGGTAGGAGAGATGATGAAATTCTGGCGAGGTTCGTTCTGCTCCTTCTCTGATGAACAAAGAAGCTCCCCTCTAGAAGAAGTGTTCGACGAGATTTCGACAAATCTCCGGTGATCCTTCCCCCAAGATAGGATGAAGTTCTTCTTTAGTGTATGAAAGAAAGCACATTGCTTCTTTGTTAGCCAAGCTCTTCCTCAAGAAGCTCTCCTTACGCACTCATATGGTGTGGTGGAGGAAGGAGAAGAAGAGTTCCTGGTGGAAGAATGAAGAAGAAGAGGAAGAGAAAGTTATAAGAAGAAAGCCTTGGGTCTAAGGGAGAAGAAGCTCCAAAGCTCTCTAGGGAAGAAGATGAGTTCAGCTCTTGAAAAAGGAAAGAAATGTTGAAGATGGTCTGTAGGAGAAGCCCAAGGGACTCAAAAGCTTGTCATCCCAACTTTTCCCCTAATTTGCCAAAAATGACCTTGCCACTTCGCCTAGGAAGCTTCCAAAAGAAGCCTAAAAGAGGTATTAGCACCCTCTTTTTGCATGCCCAAGGAAAATCCCCACATTGCCTAAGGAAATCCCCCTTTTCGGCTGCCTAGAGGGTGCACCAGCTCAAAATCGTGAAAATCACCAGAAAAAATCGGGTCGAAAAAATGTTCTAGTGTCTAGGCACCGTGGCCATTACACCATGGTGATGAGTGTCTGTCGTCTAGGCGTTGGGCTGATGCCTATTTTACATGGCTCGAAAAATGATATTTTAAGAGGCTTCTGGGCGTCTAGGCACCCAGGACTGGCGTCTTATAGTTGAGCTCTCGATTTGAAAGCTCTGTAGGGCAATCTGGGTGCCTAGGCGCCAAGAGGCTAGCAACTACTTGTTGATCTCTCAAATTTAAGCTGCTGAGAGGCTGTTTTGGGTGCCTAAGCACTGGGCCCCACTTTAGCCCCGTAAACCACATATTCACCAAAAATGTTTAGCTGAGGATTTTCTCAATATGAAAGCCATGGAGGATCAAATATGATAGAAATATGGTCTCATAGCTCAAAAAATGAGTATTTTTACGTGTAATTTATCAGGGGGATTCGTTGTCGACTATCATCTCTAACCACGGTGTGGGTGAGATATTTTAAACCCTAATCTTCCTAGAAATGCATGTGTAAAGCTTTGATAGGTTCCTTTGACCATGGGAGGCTTCATATGTATATGACATAGTCTTTAAACACCAAAAAGGGCGCCAAACACGTCTCATGTCACAAATAAGCCCGTCCAATGATGGGTTCTTCCAGGTCAGTTTGAATCATCGCAGACCTTGGTTTCATGCCTTGAATACGTGTCAGAAGGCCTCACATGGATGTCTTAAGCTACGAGTGAGCATTGAATTGTCCCGAGCTAGTCAGGTGGACACTCTACGCACGTGACATCAAACATTGACGCCAACAATCACCTTGATGATGAAAATGATCTTACTTAAGGCTTCCTCAAGCTAATCATTGCTATGGTGCAATATTCATTGGAAAATTAAAAAGAGTAAATATTTACTCAAAAAGTTATCAAGAGGAAAGTTGATAAGGCTCTGACATAAGCAATTTATCTAGAAACAAGGTTTAGTGGCAAAATGTACAATTGATATGTCTTTTAACTTGTTTAGATGATAACTAATAAAACATGCTTATGGTTAAATAAACTACATATTTGTTATAAATAATAAGCATATAACTCTCTAAATTAACCCTTCATCATAGGATAGTTAAATCACTCTTACATGAAGATATAACTTGTGATTGCCCAGCTCTTAGTCTTAAAAGATCTGTAGTAGTCACAAAACCAATCTTGTAAATAAAATCATTTTTATAGAAATCAAATTAAAGCTAAAATTTTATAGATAAATGTATTACGATATAAAGTTACTTTAGTTGAGCCACCGCTTAGGTTGTCAACCCTACTGTTTAACTTACATAATAATACTTAATATGAAGAGTCTAACTAATGTTTACATGAGATTCTTCAAACCATCACTCAAACCATAACCTTCCATCCTCTTTACTAGTCTAATTTCTTTCTTATCCTTAAGATAAATCAATCTACGCTATTTTTTATTTACAAACCCTATAAATCCTTACAAAGAATGCTCTTATGTAATTTGTGATTGGAAATATACATCATCCTTCTGGTGGATGAGTAAACCCTTTTACGTTAAAAAGAATTGATGGGTCATGGTAAATCGGAAGAGCTACGGAAGAAGATCTAGCCTCAAACATGGCATAATAATCAATATTTATAAACTTCTAATACTATTGACCAAATCAAAACCATTATTAAAGCATTTGATGTTTCATTATGTCTAATGTATGAATTAAATGACACTTGAAATCTGTCATTTTCACATTTAGTGTTCAACAAAATTTATAAGTAATTATTATTTTTTTTTTATTTACATGTTGTTATTCAAAGGTTCAATAAAGTCAAGGAATTAAGTATAATTGTGAAGGAGTTCAAAAACAAAGGTGAGCCCTCTAAGAAGCAAAAGTGATTAATAAAGATTACACACCCTAAGCCAATGGGCCACTGATCCACCTTAAAATTAGATGTTTTTAGTAAACATTTCATGTTCATTTTATGCACATTTTTTATGATATTGCACTTTAAAGGAGGTTATTTTGTATGTTTTTAGTTTCAAGTACAAGAGATGGAGTTTTAGCGAAAATGAAGCAAAAACAGTGTAATTTGGAGCCAAATTGAGCATGGAAGAAAATTTTGATCTGGTTCATTCTGATATGACTTTCAATGCTTAACTTCATCTATATTTATCACATGTTTATGAATGAAATTACAATTTAAAGAAATATTATTTTCATGTTTATCTTGTAGGTATAACACCATGAGCAAATCGAAGCTGAAACAGAACAAAACAGAACCAAAATAGAAGAAAATAGGTGTGTTGCCCAGACTGGTGTCATAGCGTCAGTCACGACTAGAAACAGACACTATAGCACTAATTCTGACGCTATAGCACCCAAGACAGTTTTTTGACGAATTTTGAGCTATTATGGGCCATTCTGGGATGTTCTGAAAGCTTCTGGAAACCTTACATGCCCCATGGAGTGATTCAATGAATCTAGACACATTTGAATGAAATGATATGTCTCTTGGAGTGAAAGGATGCATCTTTTTGATGAAGAGATGTGCATCTTGGAGAAAAAGGGGTTTTTGTGTCTCTTTTAATAGAGGGGCTTGACGGCTCTCATGACAAGAATTAGAAAAGTTTTAGGAGTTTTTAGAAGGATTTTAGAGAGACTTTGGTCTGATTATGGAGATGTAGATTTTCACTTTGTCTAGAGAGATTGATGAGGGATTTTGACAGATATGTGTAAGGAATGTACAGGTGGTGCATGGATCGGCAAGAGACTTTGGTGGAGAGATTTTTCATCTTTCTTTTAGAGGGAAAAAACTAAGTATTGTGTTCTTTATTATCTTGTAATTATTGTAAACATTTTTTAGTGAATTTTTTTTTTATTTAAACAAAGTTTTCTATGGTGTTTTATTTATGCTATGTAAGTAATTTTTTTTATTCTTTTCTTTTAATATGAAGTAGTGGCATGTGTACGAAAATTTGTTTCATGATAGAATTATTTTTATTTTCATGTGATGAGTAATATCTTTTTTGCTTCATTGACATAACTTAAGTGGCAATGAGTTATGTTAAAATTTGTTACATGTGAAATTAAGACTCGGGAGAGCAGTGATCTTGCAACTTGAGTGCATAAAATTGACCGGTTGGCTAATGATCTTGCAACTTGAGTGCATAAAATTGACCGGTTAGCTAATAAAATAGTTTAGGTTGCAATGCAACTTCTAAGGAAATATAATTTAATAATTTGTTTTTATTAGATGCTTCTAGGTGACAGATA